GGGGGTGCACGTGCACCCTGTGCTCCCCCCTGGTTACGGCCCTGTGTATAATATATATTTTGCCCAATTTTATGATTGGGAGACTTATTCAGAAAACGTAAAGCTGTAAATAGAAATGTCTGGGTTTTTTCTTCCTGGCCTTGGGCCATGTTGTTCATGTAAAGTATAAATCAATATTGCTCCATTATTCTTGCAGTATTGTTCAATCCAACATGGGCAATAGTTTTGGTCGATGTCAATCAAATTGTTTTCATCTCATTTCAAAAACACAAAGTTTTCAAAAACACAAGTTTATTGACTGTTATAGAAATTCCTGGATGTCCACCAATACCTATGTAGACTTAGTCACAGAAAACATTTCCAGCATGTTATTATGACAAAGAGTATGTGTTCGGATGTGATTACTTACTTGACCATAGGCAAACAGACAGGTGTTGTAGCCCTGGAAAGCACTATTAAGAAGTGGTTCTCCAAGAAGTTTGTACAACTTTTCTTGATCAACAAAGTCAGGATGTTTAGGATCAAYAGACCACAAGGAATGGTCATACAAAAAGTTGTACTTTATTCCTTTGTCTGATGTGAGGCTGGTCTCGTTACCATCCATTGATATGCAAACCTTTACCTTGGGGTCATTTTGTTCTCTGTGAAGATTGATTAATGAGAGCAATTTATTAATCCAATATATTGTTTATCAATAATCATAAAATGTTTGAGATATTATTAATTATAATGTGCATGCTGATTGGCTTGCTACTGTGTTTATATCAGAAGACAGAGACATGCTCATCAGCAAAATTGATTAAAGATATATGAAAGCTATCTAAAACAGCTGCTTATGTCTCTGTACTGTACGTAGTGATACATATAAAAACTCTTGGAGCTGTAGAGCACTTGAAAAGCAAGAGAAAAGCTTGGCTATGCCTCATGCTCCTAAGCTTGCTCCTCTCAAAGGTTTAGCAAAAATAATAAAAAAGCATAGGGTGATAGGACTGCCATTTCAAGAGGTCATCCAAGCCACTTGAAAGTCCAACCTATTATTATAGCAGCACTACTATCACCATTTGACAAGTGTATCATGTTGATCATTTGATAACTTTTGACATTTTCACTGCTGATTGAGTTCCTGATTGACTGATTTTCGTTTTGTTTCATGAACTATGCTTGAGGGCTTTAAATTCCCAGCCAAAGTGACTCCCCAGGGAATCTACTTCATTTACACTTAGCACCAAACACAAATCACAATAGACTTAATCCCTTACCAAACAAACTTATTAAGTCATCATTCCAAAGCTTTTCGAAGTTTCCCAAACCCAAGAAAATGTCTGTCCCATGAAAACATAAACTTAATATCGCATGTAGGTTGTTTTTTAGTAATCTTCAGTGCGAGCTATATATATGCTAGTCTATTATCGGTCTAATTTTTAAAGATGTGATAATTGAAGAGTATACAATATAAACTTACATTAATCATACACGTATGAGACGCTATCTTTTTGATCAAGCCTTCATTGCTATCATAGCAGAATCACTAGCAATAAATCATACGATTTTATCAAGAAACTTTGAGATAATTTCTTGGTCTTAAGTGATACGAAAATGAGAAGAAAACAGCTGTTTTTCTTGACGTGATTGATATTTACAAACATGAGTTGAAAAACAATTTGGACGAGAAAACAATTCGTAAAAAGATCAATGTTTACTGAGCAAAGCATGAATCAAAGCACGCTACTGATAAAACAAAGTCTAGTGCGCCCTTCATCATAAATAACTCCAGAAAAAATAATATCAAAGTACAAAGTGTTACATTAATTTGATTACACTTCCCGTTAAAGGCGTGATAATACTTCAGTGAAGTGTTCTATCGTACAGTACATCGTGAAATTTGATCAAATATTTTTACATTAAAACACGCGCAAACTTTTGACATTGATGTGTTTAATTTAAACTCTAAATTCAATCATCAGTCAATAGAAAAAATATCCAATACACTATTAATACAGTATGGGGATAATCAACGCACTTTTCCAGATAAAAATAAGTTGAAGAAAAGACGAAAATCAGATAGAAAACCAGTGCGTAATTAGATTTCTCAAGTGACGCGACCTGCACGACCCCAACTGCATGACCCCACAGTTGTAAAAATAATTACAGTATTTTTTTTACACATTTTTAAAATAGATTTTTTTCATTATAAGGTAAAATGGTAAACTAAGACTCGAACACAGTTTAGGCCATTTTCTTACCTTTGTAGAAGCGGTCTAACCCGAACAGCTACTGTAATACTGCATGAATCTTCATCCGTGATGTTTGGAACCTGATACGGTGTGTGTGGGGTCGTTGGGATATTCTTAACACCAACAGATTTAGGAGTCCCTATTCCTGATTTCAGACACTCAGGTGTGTTAAAATTCTCTTTTCTACTGCCATTCTTAAGAGGAGCTTCAAGTTCTTTCACTTCTTTGAAGTTGTTCGGAGTGACAGCAGTCGAGCAAACGACTTCGTTTGCTTCTGTCAAGAGAGCAGGAGACATTGGTAAAACTCGAGCGATTTTCCTATCACTTCTACAAACACCATCTTCTTTAATACCAACTCCTTCAATATCTTTTATAGATTCGCTTTCCTTGGAACCTCTTCGGCTTGACAGAGGAGAGTCGCTGGAGTTTGACGTTTCACTGTCTCGTCTTTCCTGCAAGAGTCGTCTTCGAATCGACAACGGCGAATTCTTCACTAACTGATTGCGAAGAACTCCCGCCGGAGCGCTTGATTTTCTCAGGAAAATCTTCTCAGGAGTCGTAGGAACAGAAGAATGATCCCTGCTTGAGTTTTTAGCACTAGAAGCAGCACTCATTTTCTGTAGATTGGCGTTCTTGATAGACGCCGGGTTTATGAAGTCCACGCTCCCAGTTCTCATCAAAGGAACGCTGGGTAACGCTCTCTTGGAAGATTTCGCCTTATTAGCTGACATCTTGGTAAGAATTTAAAGGAAATCGGAGCTCATCCCATTGAAAAAATAAGTTTTTCTCTCTTGCCAGTTGAACGAAGCAATAAAATACATTCCTTCGATCGGTTATTCGAAACGTTCCAAACACACACAACAAAAACAACCAATCAAAACTCAACAAATCCAGTCACGTGGGAAATTCAAGCTCTCGCGGGAATTCATCCTTCACTTCCGGTTGAACGGTTATTTTCTTACTTCCTCTTTTTAGTCCTCCTCGGTTAGACTTTGAACGCCTGGAGTATTTTATTACGAGCGGTGAAAACATGGCGGACTTTACGTAACGAAAAAATACTTGGATTTTTGTAGTTAATTTAGCTGAATGGAATAGTGGAAAGCTTAAACGATTAATGCGAGGAGCTCCACTTGGGATTAAAGCTGTGTTTGGGGATTTTATTTTTAGTGGGAACATTATGGAATGAGGATTTTTGGAGACCAAAAATATGGTTGGTTTTGATCCCAGCCGTGTGGAAAAAGGACTTACTTCTTCACAATGTGGATATTGTGGCTCTTTTGCTGGTGCAGTCACAAGAGTTTTTGCTCAGCCTTTGGATGTTCTTAAAATTAGGTTCCAGCTTCAGGTGGAGCCAACATCTACAAACCACTTGGTATATATATAATATTATGAAATTTTACTTTTATTTTTTACGTTGAACGACAGTTTGTTTGAATAAGGGTTTTATATTTACAGTTGATGTCGCGCAAAGGCGAAAAACCTACAGGAAAATATACTGGAGTATCGCAAGCTTTTAAACTCGTGTATAGAGAAGAAGGCATCCTAGCTCTATGGTAAATAAAAAAAAAAAATTGGGAAGATGTAAACTGGATTTGTTTATGGTCTTTGTACGTTGGAAAATAAAGTTTGTACAATCAAAAACAAATCCATTTATTTTCATCAATTAATAAACTATGACTTTTGACTATAATTAATTAATTGATTGATTAGAGTGCAAACAATATAATCGTGAAACTTTAGTAATACTAAATAGCACAATTTCATGCAAATTCCATTTTTTTGTATTGTTAATTAGCACTATTTCGTACTATTTAGTAATTAGTGTTTTACGGATTAATTGTTTGCACTCTAATACTTTTTATTGACTAATATATATAATTATTTATGCGTAGGAAAGGCCATGTTCCTGCTCAAATTTTATCCATAGCCTATGGATACTTTCAGGTAAGTTGAAATCAAGGGAATTTGATGTAGCATGCAGAAGTGCATTCATATCTCATCTCTGGGGTCTCATGTTTGATTCCTGGACTTGCCATCATGTGTGAGTAGAGTTTGTTAAAATTTCAGTGTGCACTTCCAACTACAGAGTTTGCAGATATCTCTCTTACTCGGTTTTCAATATTCTGCAAACTCTGTATACATAGTTGCAAGGTGACACTGAAATTTGATTTTTCATTGCCGTCAATCAAAAATAATCTGTTGGTACCTTTTATATTCTTGACTGGGGGCGGTGGAAACCAATTTCACGACAAGTCATTAAAATGTTGGATGTGCAGAATATCGAAATCCACAGTAAGATTTGAGTATTTGGCTCCCGGTTTTCTGTTTCAAATTCCACCTGCGCTTCTCAAAACCACACTATGCCTGAGATTATTATAAAGATGTATGTTGTTTTTTTTTAGTTCACATTTTTTGAAGCTTTTACACAAATAGCATATTTCATTTCACCAAGGCTGCTGGAGCAAAGGCACAAACCAAGTAAGGAATATTCAAAAAAATTGTTTTTGTGCAAGAGAGTACACCACAAAGGAAGGGCTAAAACTAACTAACTTCAACAACTCACGCCCACCACAGGTATCCAGAATAAAGGAATAATTCTGGAAACTTGTAACAGTTTTCAAACTCATAGCTGCACCCTAAAATTAGGCTTTTTGCACCTGTCAATCAAAATTAATCAATCAGTACGTTTTATATTTTTAACTGGTGGCAGCCAAAAAACCAATATTTCCAATAGACCTCACACAACTTGCATTCCCTTAAGAATAAGATTCTTCGTTTGGGTTGTATCCATATTCATGTGTCTTCTCATGCACGACCGTTAAACAAAGAAATGATACTCAAGGGAATGACTGTGTGATATTTCTAGTGACTCACTTCATATGTGGTGGAATATCGGGTTGTGCTGCTTCATTTGCCATCCAACCTTTAGACGTCATAAGAACAAGACTTGTTGCACAAGGAGAACCAAAGGTACGATGTCATTTAGGAGTTAAATTGTTTGTTTATATTGATAAAAAAGTTGAAGGCAATATGTAACCGGCGGCAAGGCGCTCAGCTATGAATCAGATTGCAAGTGGTTTTGACAAAAGAATTTATTGAAAAATTCACACAACTTTACAA